TAGTATATCAATCTCATTTTAAAAAGTGATTATGATATTATTATAGTTTAAAAAGTGGAGTGCTGCTACACTGCCAAGGCCACATGGCACTGTCGAGGCCAATGTGGCCCTGACAGAATGGAATTACCCCAAAAAAAATGTATAGTAATGACGATTGAATAAGCTCAAAGACAAGAAAAAATAAATTGACTTGATGGCACTTGTTTATTTTTATATTGTCCAATCATGTATCGACAAGTGTCTCCTCGATTTTTTAACTGTTTGTGTAGTTGAAAAGTATAAGATATTGTCTCAAATTTCTAATGGTATGTCAAAATATGTGGGCCCTTTCACCGGACAACTCTTTTTGACTTTTAGGACCTCAAAAGTGGAAACAGATATTCTTGACCTCAATAAAGAGAACAAACTTTTTGAACAAACGAAAGGGTGCAAGAAAAAAAAATTAGGGGTTATTTGACAAAATTTTTAATAAAAATTTTAGTAGATTTGATAAAAGTTAGTGACATGTGCATGTCTTTTTTAGAAGGTAGATTTTTTTTTTTAACAAAAAATAAATTAATTTTTGCAATAGTTTGGTGTTGATGTGCAAAATAGTGAATGACATGGCAAATAAAACATATCTAATATCTGTCTTTAGCTTAATACCATAAATTAATAGTAGGACAATAATACATTTTATGCGATTTCATGTTTCACTTTTGTTCTTGATTATCTACTGTTGAACATATTTGCTGATTTTGTTTGGAGGCCCAAATCTTTATTGTTTCTCTGGCCCAAGTTCCTTTATTTTGGCCCATATTCGGATCCACCTATAGAAGAATCTGGAAGAGTGAGATTTATACAACTTCAACAGCTTCTTTACAATTAAAAAAGTGACTTTTCACTTTAGTTGGTACACTTTTCATTTCTCTCAACAAATAGTACCCGCAGTAGCTTTCTTCCTTGCATTTTCTCTCTGTAATAGATCTCCAATTTTTCTTGTTTGAATTCTTGTGAGATAGGAGAGTATATTGATGAACTCTTGTGTGAGTTCATGTGTGTTGTTGAAGAGTTGAGAGATTTTCTGCAGGGGCTGTATACTTGTAACCCTTTTTTTTGCCTATTTTGGAGCGTTTCTAGTGGATTTGAGTGTATTCCTTACGGATGCTCAATGGGGATTAAACATTAGAAGTGGTCGCCGAACCTCTGGGCTTTTGGGCCGAAAAATCTTGTGTTGATTCTTGTTATTTTTGCTATTTTCGTTTATGTTTTCGTTTACAAATCGAACCACAAATTGTCTTTGGGACCAACAGTGGTATCAGAGCATAGGAGAAAATTGTCTGTCGATTTGTGGTATTTTTCAGATTTGCCTTTTTTTTTTGGGTCTTACGGTTTGAGAATATTTCTTTGGTTGGTTTAGACTGTGGATCTTGAAAATATTTGTTGTTAAATTCCATTACTCGGTTGTGACTCCTTTTGATTTGTTGTTTCTACACTGAGTTCTTGTAAATCGGTATAACTTGTACTGAGTTTGGCAAGTTGGGTTAGTCACACTGAGTCATACCGAGTTTACACTGTGTCACACCGAGTCAGTCATATCCAGTTTGCACAAGTCATTTTTCTTGCTGTTGAGTACCTTAGTACATATAACTGAATTTTTTTTAAAGATTTTGGTATCAATGTTTTCTCTTTAAAACTTGGTTTTCTAAAATCTCTTCTAACTCCACCTTTGTCTAGGGGTCCCTGCGAGAACCCTAGAATCTGAGAGGATTAGGGCTTCGATTCAAGAAACTAATTATTTCAAAAGCTTTGAAAAACGTTTTTCTTGCAACTGTGTAAATACTGAGATATACTAAAATTCTTTAATTCAGTTTTGACTTCATGGATATACTGTTGACTTGTACTGACATTTGAATTGATCTGTTCAGGGGTTGAGATTATTGTTTTTGAAGTTGTTCTTCGCTGGAGGTACATATTCTTCTAACCGCCTGTAGTTTACTGTGTGTGAGCTTAATTGTATTGTAATTCCAATTCTATTGATTGATCAGTGAATTATCCTTGTATATATATAATTGACTGTGTAAAATTGGAATATCTGATGCTGCTTGCTGTGATATATCTTTGGCTATATCATATCTGTACACTGATCACACTGCTACAGACCATGACTTCTAAGGTAGATGTTCAAATTTGGGATGGGAAATTAAGGCTCTTATGCTGCAGTTAAAGTGTGCCAAGGCCATTGATGAATCTTGGCCAGAAACACTATTTGTAGATAGGAAAACTGAACAAGATGAATTGGCTTGGAGCACTATGTTTCTACACTCATTTGATTCTGTGATTAGAAAAGTAGGAGAAACCAAGACTGCCGTAGAACTTTGGACTACCTTAGAAAAATAGTACCTCAACAACTCACTACCAAGTTAATACTTTCTTTGGAGACTTTTCTTTAGTTTTACGTTTGATCCTGATCTTGATATAGAAGAAAATATGGATAGATTCAATAGGATCACGCAAGACTTAACAAACTGTGGGGAGAAGATCTCTGATGAGCAGAAGGTAGTTGGTCTACTTAATGCTCTAGGAGATAAATATAAAGATATAAGAAATGCTCTAGAGTATGGGAGTGATCTTACTGTTGAAATAATTCATAGTTCTCTCTTGACCATAGAACTGGGATTGAAATCTGAACACAAAGAGGTGTTCCATGTTGAGGGTATGGGAAGAAATCAGAAATCCTATGCTAAGGGTGTTAGTAATTTCAGTCATTCCAATTTCAACAAGGATAAAAATTTTGTCAAAAGAAAATGGAATAATACCAAAGGAAAGGACGATAAACCTGATAAAGAAAAGGACAATAACAAGAAATGCTTTTATTATGGTAGAACTGGGCACTTTATCAAAGATTGCTTTAAAATGGCCAATGACCAAAAGAATGTGTCTAATACTGGAAATGCTTCTCTTGCTACCACTTCCAACTATAAAGAACCAGGAGTGAATATTGGGTTGCCTTTGTGTCTTTATCCGAAAGTACTGAACATGACTGGGTCTTAGATTCAGGTTGTTCGTTCCATATGATGCCCAATATTAACTATCTATTTGACTATTCTGACCTTAGTGAAGGATCAGTTAAACTTGAGAATGATGAGGTGCGTCATGTTAAAGGAATTGGCAATGTGTTGCTGAAATTCCAAAATGGTCATCACCTACTATTGAAAAACACTATGTTCCAGCCTTAAGAAGAAACCTCATATCCCTAGGATTTCTTGATGATGAGAGATATCAAATTGAGATTAAGAATGGTTCTACTTTTATAATCAGAAATCAAGAACTTATTGTCAGTTCACCTAAATTCAATGGAATTTATGTTATAGGGGCTGAAATCACTTCACCTAATAATTCTGTGAATTTTGTCACACATCTCGATAAATTAGAGTTATGGTATAAAATACTTGGCCACTTGAGTGAAAAAGGCCTAAAAATCTTGTCAAGTCAAAGGGCATTTGGAAAGGACAGTGTTCAAAAACTTAGGGCATGTTCTCTTTATCACTTTCAAGCCGTTTTCTGTTTTTAATTTTCCAAAACAACAAAAATACCTTTTCTTTCCTATTTTCGAAAACACGTTTTTGAAAATTGAAAAAAAATTATATTGAAAACTCAAAACGTTCAAAACCACGTTTTGATTATTTTGAGCCAAAACACGCTAATTTTCAGAAACCGCGGAAAATGACTTATCAAACTTATCCTCTCTCTCTCTCTATCTCTCTCTCTCTTCCCCCCCTCTCCCTGGCTTCCTTTGGTTTTCCTCTTCCGATCTCACGAACCCACAAGAAGAAATTTCTATCCGCTTGTACAAAATCTGTGGGTTTTCTACTGACTCTTTCAATCAGGTTTCCCTACTCTCACTATCCTTATTATTAATCAATCTGCTGTTTTTTTTTTACATATTTATTTTCGAAAATAGGAAAACTAGTAGAGATTTCTTGAATGTAGGGTGTAGTCGAGTGAAGCTTCTGCACTGATTTTCTAGTCAATGACATTTTTGTGAAAAAAGAGAGGATAAATGCAACTGCCTGCATTAACAAATCTTCTCATTTGCGTTACACTTGTTACAGTTGAAATGGACTTTCTTGTACAAGAATTAATATGTATTTACGTCAGTTTATTCATAATTTAGTGTTCAATTGAAATGGGTCTTCTTGTGACGGAATGAATTAGCATTTGCACACGTTTATATATAATTTAGGTTAAATTGAAATGGGTCTTTTTGATTTGGTGGTGGTGCAGTTGAAGAGAGTGATATTGGTCAAGGTAGAGCCGCCGAGCCTACTCAGAAACTTGATCGGAGAGATCATAATGATGTTGGAAGTGGTGTTGCATGTAGGCTATATGATTTTTTCGCAGCAAAAGAGTTCCTTCCTCTTCATCATACTCCAAACAGACGCAGGTGTGCCTTTCTCGTATTATTATTTACAAAAAAAATCAAAATATTATTTTCTGATTTTAGCGAAAAGCCCGGCTTATTTATTTAATGCAATCTGCATTGGTATCCAATATTAGTTTTTTACATTTTTGTGGGATTATATCTTCTAAATTGGTTGAGTTCATGTTTTGTTAGATTTATGCCATTAATATGACATTGAGTGAATGATTGATTTGGTGTTGCAGGAACAAGGTTCTGATATAGAAGTATATCGAGGGTTAGTTTTGATTCTTGACACGATTAGTATGATGTGAATGAGAAAAAAGAAGATGAAGATGACACTGTGTTATTATAGTATTGCCTATAAATATGTGAACTCTACACATTTAGATCAATACTGTTGGTGGGTCCAATTCTTTTAGTATCTCTTTTTGTGATTTACCTAAGTGGGTTTGTTTACATCAGTATAATTTGGCTAGTGTGGTTTCAGTTCTGAAAGAATTTTATGGGCTAAATGCAATGGCCAAGAGCCAACGTTTGATTAGGGGAAAAATAGGCATATCTGCAGCAATGGACCACTTGGGTGCTTTTGATTTCCATGGCATTGCATGATCTTCCGGCTGTTTTGTTGCCCGGTGGGGCTTTAAGGCTCTTGGTAGAGCTTGCGATATCTCGGGATGAAGATATCCCTGCTTTGGTTTATGAGGCTCGTCTAGTTATTAATAATGATTTATTTTCAAGTGTTGATGTTGTGCAAAGAAGGGTATGGAGAGAGAGAAGGATTGCAGGTTCTACTTCGGATGAAAATTCAGATGTGACGCCTAACACGAATACTAGTCATGATACGAATTCAAATACTACTCTGGGGACATATTTATCAGTTGGAAGTGATGAGAATGGGATTCATTTGGTTAATGCTGAAAAGGGTCAGATTTTTAGAGGGGACTTCGAACTCGATGCACCTCTTATTCAGCATAGAATAATTGTCCATATGAATTCAGAGGAAGATGCAAGTCCAAGTGAAAATTTTGCTCTGGTAGTCATTTGTACTTTGGTTCTCATATTGTGCATGCTATTATTTAGTCCTATCTGGCAACAATGAAAATAGCAATGGCATATTCATTTTGTTCCAAAGGGGCTACTCATTGTTTGCATACGAGACTTCTGTGATTTGTATGCTAAGGGTCAAATGATTATGAGAAGCCAACTGATTGATTTTCAGATATTGACAATATTTGTGATCTGCCTTTTTACTTGTAAGTAGTTTATCTATAATCAAGGAGAAATATTATTTATTATCAGTGATGATAGTCATCGTGTTTAGACGATCAAAATTGTATTTGGCAAAATTGATTTCCAAATATTTATTAACATGTTAACATAAAATTAGTGCTCCCATTTTTGCAACTTGATTAGGTTTGATTGTGACTTGATGCTAATTAATTATTGTCCCAAGTTACGTACAAATACAAAAATAAGAATTTGCCAAATTTAATTTAGGTTATATTTTTTATATTTGGAAAAAACATATTTCAAACTTCAATATTTATATGTTATTTAATACTATATTAATATTAAACTATTAAAACTTATTGAATAATCAGATTTTTTGAATAAAATATTATTAAAAAAATTCTCAAAATTTCATAGTAAACGCGTTTTCCATTTTTATGTTTTCAGAAATAGTTTTTCCAAATGGCAAAAAAAACGTATTTTCAGAAATTTTAAAACAGACACTCAAAATACAAAACACAAAATGAATTCAAAACACAAAATACAAAACTGAAACACAAAAAGAATAGTCCCTTACTTTCTGTGAACACTGTATTATGGGAAAACATACTAGACTACCTTTTAAGGCAGGGCTGCATAAATTCCAAGGTATTCTTGAATACATACATTCTAATTTATGGGGACCTGCCCTTGTACCAACTGTATCTGGTTTTAGATACTATCTTCTCATTACTGATGATTTTTCACGAAAAACGTGGATCTTCTTATTAAAATATAAATCTGATACGTTTTCAATTTTCAAAGAATGGAATTTATTAATTCAAAATTAGACTAATAAGAAGATAAAAATTTTAAGAACTGACAATGGGCTTGAATTCTGCAATTCAGATTTTGATCAATATTGTTCTAAATAAGGGATATTGAGACATAAAACGGTCGGCTATACTCCTCAGCAAAATGGAATGGTTTAGAGATTAAATAGAACCATTCTTGAGAGAACTAGATGCATGTTAATCAGTTCTGGCCTTCCGAAAATCTTTTGGGGAGAGGCTGTAAAAAGAACTTGTTATCTCATAAATAGGAGTCCTTTCAGCTCTCTAAACAATAGAATTCATGAACAAATATGGTCTGGTACATTACCAGACTACTCCTACCTCAGAACCTTTGGCTGTGCAGCATATGCACATCATACAGATTCAAAATTGGACCCTAGATCATTAAAGGGTGTGTTCTTAGGTTATGGAGAAGGAGTTAAAGGTTAAAGACTGTAGTTAAGGGATATGAGAGGTTATAAAGTGATTACAAGTAGATCTGTGATCTTTAATAAAGGTGATTTTCCTTGTCTTAGTGACAAATCTGATGAAAAGATAGGAAAAGATGACTTTGTTATCACTGAAATAAATCTTAATAGAGAGGCTGAAAGTGACCAGATTCAATTTGAGGTGGAGCCACATGAAATGGAACCTCAAAATACCTCTGATGTTGAATAGAAGATGACCAGCATCTAGAGCCTGCAAATGACCTGCAGGACTACCAGCTTGCTAGGGATAGAATAAGGCTTCCCTCCAAGTATCAGTATGCTGATTTTGTAACTAAACAATCTGAACCTGATCTGTTTGATACAAAACCAGTTTTTTATGAAGAAGCTGTCTTTTGCAAAGAATCCTCTAAATGGATTAATGCAATGGAAGATGAAATGAACTCTCTCTATAAAAATTAGATCTGGATCTTAGTGGAAAAACCCAAGGAATGTAAAGTGATTGATTGTAAATGGGTATAAGATCAAAGAGGGAGATGATAAGACAAATAGAAGGTATAAGGTCTGGCTTGTAGCAAAGGGGTTTACACAAAGGGAATGGATTGACTACACTGAGATTTTTTCATCCGTTGTCAAGTACACCTCTATTAGGGTTTTACTTGCTATTGTGACACAATTTGACTTAAAGTTAGAACAACTTGATGTGAAGACTGTCTTCTTATATGGTTATCTATGTGAAACCATATACATGACTCAACCAAGAGGGTTTGAGGTTAAAGATAAAGGGAACTTTGTGTGTCTCTTGAAAAAATCTTTGTATGGCCTAAAGCAGGCCACTAGGCAGTGGTATAAAAGATTTGACTCTTTTATACAATGATTAAATTTTAAGAAATCTGATTATGATCCATGTTTTTATTTTAAGAGAGATGGAGAATTTGAATCATTTTATATGCTCTTGTATGTTGATGATATGCTCATTGCTAGTCATAATTCTGTTACTCTTAACATGATAAAAGAAAAGTTGAAATCTGAATTTGAAACGAAAGATTTAGAACCAGCTAAGAAAATATTGGGCATGGAAATTAAAAGGGATAGAATAAATGAGAAGTTGTTCTTAACACAAATGTCTTATGTTAAAAAGGTAGTTAAAAGATTTTTTCTTCATGATGCTAAACCTGTTAGCCTGCCTTTGTCGGTAGTGTGAAACTACTTGTTGATCAATCACCCAAATCTGAAAATGAACATAAAAGAATGATGAATGTGCTATATTCTAATGTTGTTGGATCTGTGATGTATGTGATGGTATGCTCTAGACCTGATATTGCTTATGTTGTGAGTGTGCTAAGCAGATTTATGAGTAATCCATGTGAATTACATTGGCAATGCATGAAAAATTTGATTAAATACCCGAAAGGAAGAAGTCATTTGGGTTTAATGTTCAAAACTGATAAAAATGGGCTTAAACTTGAAGGTTATGCAGACTCAAACTATGCTGGAAATCCAGATAATAGAAAGTCCACATCTGCATATTTTTATGTTATGAATGATACATGCATTAGTTGGAAATCACAATTACAAAAGGTAGTTGCATTGTTTCCAACCGAGGCTAAATACATTGCTGCCACTAAGGCAGTGAATGAAAGTTTATGGCTGAAAGGTTTATTAGGAGAACTAAGATTTGTAGAAAATCAGGTGGAGCTATGTTCTGATAATCAAAGTGCAATATTTTTAAGTAAAAACCCAATTTTTCATGATAGGTCCAAGCATATAGATGTTAAGTTTCATTTTATTAGGGATATAAGTGACAGGGGTAATATCAAGTTGGTAAAAATATCAACTCAGGTAAACCCTGCAGATGCAGGAACTAAGGTAATACCTATAAGTAAGTTCTTAGATTCTTTAAGATTATTGAATCTTGAAGAAAACTATTTTTTTTTTTTGCTTTTGTACAGGTAATAAAGAGCAAACGAAGTTTTGGTCTATGCTTTAAATCCACACGAGTATCGTCCCAAAATGCAGCAAAAGGTGGAAATTGTTGAACATATTTGCTGATTTTGTTTGGAGGGCCAAATCTTTATTGTTTCTCTAGCCCAAGTTCCTTTATTTTGGCCCATATCCGGATCCACCTATAGAAGAATCTAGAAGAGTGAGATTTATACAACTTCAATGGCTTCTTTGCAATTAAAAAAGTGACTTTTCACTTTAATTGGTACACTTTCATTTCTCTCAATAGATAGTACGCGCAGTAGCTTTCTTCCTTGCATTTTCTCTCTGTAATAGATCTCCAATTTTTCTTGTGTAAATTCTTGTAAGATAGGAGAGTGTATTGATGAACTCTTGTGTGAGTTCATGTGTGTTGTTGAAGAGTTGAGAGATTTTCTGCAGGGGCTGTATACTTGTAACCCTTTTTTTGCCTATTTTGGAGCGTTTCTAGTGGATTTGAGTGTATTCCTTACGGATGCTCAATGGGGATTAAGCATAGAAGTGGTCGCCGAACCTCTGGGCTTTTGGACCGAAAAATCTTGTGCTGATTCTTGTTATTTTTGCTATTTTCGTTCATGTTTTCATTTACAAATCGAACCACAAATTGTCTTTGGGACCAACATCTATTTCTCTGACACTGGTGTGCATATTGGCATTTTCCATATCTTGCCTAGACCAAAAAAAAAGGAAGAAAATAATTAGAAAATGTTATAATCAAGTACTAGTAGTGTTGAACCAAAATTTTAAATAAATGCACGATATGGTCCAATATGGTATTGGATAAAGATTTTGAGTTTAGCTCGCGTGTCAAGTTTTTGATGAAACGGTGAAACAATAGGTTCTTGCACTTTCAGGCATTGATTCAATTGCGCCTTTTCATGGCCATCCGGATTCTGAAATCATGATCTTGATTGATCGGTTTTCAAATCCTAGTGTGTCGATTGCAAATTGGACTGCATCAATTTGTGCATCTAACATGTTTGTGTACATGTTTCCTTTAGGATCGCCAACTGCGGTTGCATTGCCTAATAAGGCATATTCTAGACTACTGTGGTTGGATTGTCCCGGTAGCGAAATATGGATATGCATTCACCATGAATGGTGTACCAGTATCTGTTAATAAACCAACAATGGTGGTCATAGTAGGGAGGAGCATGGTGGCGAAAGAGAAAGCCGAATGAGAAAATAAAGAGGCAAGAATAGCCATGCTATGCGGTGTTGTGACCTTAATTTTAAGGTCTAATTCGTGACTAAGTAAATTTGAATGCAAATTCTATATAGCTTGGTCTAAAGCATTATGATACAACTTATCATTGTCCACGGTTAAGTACTTGTCGCCTACGGCAATGGAAATGATGGACATGGCCGGAACAAAGGGCAAAACCCGAGAGGCAAACCATTGATTGGCTGCTGAGGGGTTGACACTTATGTTTATAGAATGCCGTTATTGGAAAAGGCTTCAAGGATGTGAAGATTATAGCTCTTCAATGAGTCACCAAGATAATGTGCAAACAAGAAAAGAACACCACACCAGTGCCAAATAACAACAGAGACAGACAGGAACAAGAAGAACAATGAAAAAATGAAGAGTTGATTTGGTTTGGACCAAATCAATCCTACTTCCAAGGCAGGTGCTCTTTGTCCCTAGATCGATCCACTAAAGAATGAGATTACACCTTTTATACAGTCACAGGGACTCAGCTTTTCACATGAACACGTTTACATGCACAGAATGAGAAAACTCTCTCTTAATTTCACATGAACTATTTGTATATTATTGCCCTTAGCCCTTTCATAGATCCTTTTAAATAGATAAAGGTAACCAATCAGAATAAAGTAATGTCAAAGGATAAGAATTTAATTATAACATTTGAGTTACAGTCCCAAAAGCCATAATGAAACTCGCATGCTTTATTAAACAAGTTATTTATTCGAACTAATTTAACTATTGAACTAAGAGGCCAAGTTCTTCAAAAATCTCCACCTTTGGCTCTTGAGTGAGGATTTAATAATGATTGACTAAGGAAAACCTTAGCATAGATGACAATCACCCAGTTGACAAATTCAGCAAGTCCAAAGTCTCGTGAAACTTGCTAAGAGGTATAACCTTGGTAAGCATATAAGCATGATTAACTTCAGTAGCAATCTTCAATACTTCAATTTCACCTTTGGAAATTATATCTCGCATAACGTATAGCCTTACATCTATGTGCTTAGTCCTCTCATGAAATATGCTATTTTTGGTCAATTGAGTAGCACTTTGAGAATCACAATAAACAACCACTGATTTCTGCTTATAACCAAGTTCTTCAACCAGTCATTTCAACCACATGCCTTCTTTAATAGCTTTGGTAAGAACAATGTACTATGCTTCAGTTGTTGAAAGAGCCACCACATGCTGCAGACTTGACTCCCAGCTACCAGTGTTATCCCCAACAATGAAAATGTATCCTAAAAGAGACCTTTTGTCCAGATCACATGCACAGTCCAATTCACAAAAACCTTTGACAGTACACTTTAATCCTTCGTGGTTTGAATAGCATAACTTAAGGTTTGATGTACCCTTAAGTTATCGAATCAACTATTTAACTTCTAGCCAATGATCTCTTGTTGGTTGGCTCATAAACATGCTTACCAGGCCAACCCCATAAGCCAGATCAGGTCTGATGCTTATCATAGAATACATAATGCTCCTAAAGGCATTAAAATAAAGTACATTTTCCATATAAGCTCCTTCTATTTCCACTTCTGAGTCCCTAACAGAGGTTAACTTGAAATGAGCTCCAATAGGCGTATTAATTGGTTTAGCATGATGAAGATTTAAAGTATGTACTATCTTTTTAGAATATCCTTGTTGAGATAGCTTCAATAAACTTCTTTCTCTATCTCTAGAAATTTCCATTCCCAATATCATCTTAGCTAGTCCCAGACCAGTCAATTCAAATTCAGTTCCAAGCAACATATTTGATTCTGAATTTTGGAGAGATCTTTACATGTTTTCAGTATGTCATCTATGTATATTAAAAGATGGATGAATGAACCATGCTTTCATCTCGCATAACATACACAACTATCATGTTTACTTCTGCTAAACCCTTTCTTCACCGTACAATCATCAAATTGCTTATTCCATTGCCTTGGTGATTGTTTAAGGTTATATATTGATCTTTGTAATAGGTAAACTTTGTACTAGGATCCTTTGACTTCAAAGTCCTTTAGGTCGGGACATAAGAATTCTTTCCTCGAAGCAGCCATGTAGAAAGACTGATTTTTACATCTAGCTACTCCAACTTCAATTTGTGTATATCTACTAATGCTAGGACCACTCTTATAGAGAAATGCTTGACTATAGGTGAGAACAATTTGGTGTAGTACACTCCCTCCAGCTGCGAATACCCTTTTGGCAACTATTGTTGCCTTGAATCGTGCTTTCTCCACACTAGGAATACCAGGCTTTTCCTTGAAAACCCAATTAATTCCTATATTTGTCTGAGCATTCTCGCAGGAAACTAGCCTTCACGTTTGATTCTTGTTCAGTGAATCCATCTCTTCCTATATAGCTAGCTTCTACTTGGACCATTCTCTATTCTTTGCTACCTTATACGATGTAGGTTCATCTTCCTTCATTGTATCAGTCAAATAATAAAGTTCAAGTGGCTATGTTGTAAACTTTGATGAATGATGGATAATGAAATAGTTTGTATGGTTGTATCAAAGTTTTCAACCAACCTAGTACAAAGTTTACCTATTACAAAGATCAATATATAACCTTAAACAATCACCAAGGCAATGGAATAAGCAATTTGATGATTGTACGGTGAAGAAAGGGTATAGCAGAAGTAAACATGATAGTTGTGTATGTTATGCGAGATGAAAGCATGGTTTATTCATCCATCTTTTCATATACATAGATGACATACTGAAAACGTTTAAAGATCTCTCCAAAATTCAGAATCAAATATGTTGCTTGGAACTGAATTTGAAATGACTGGTCTGGGACTAGCTAAGATGATATTGGGAATGGAAATTTCTAGAGATAGAGAAAGAAGTTTATTGAAGCTATCTCAACAAGGATATTCTAAAAAGATAGTACAGACTTTAAATCTTCATCATGCTAAACCAATTAATACGCCTATTGGAGCTCATTTCAAGTTAACCTCTATTAGGGACTCAGAAGTGGAAATAAAAGGAGCTTATATAGAAAATGTACCTTATTTTAATGCCTTTAGGAGCATTGTGTATTCTATGATAAGCATCAGACCTGATCTGGCTTATGGGGTTGGCCTGGTAAGCATGTTTATGAGCCAACCAACAAGAGATCATTGGCTAGAAGTTAAATAGTTGATTCGATAACTTAAGGGTACATCAAACCTTAAGTTATGCTATTCAAACCACGAAGGATTAAAGTGTACTGTCAAAGGTTTTTGTGAATTGGACTGTGCATGTGATCTGGACAAAAGGTCTCTTTTAGGATACATTTTCATTGTTGGGGATAACACTGGTAGCTGGGAGTCAAGTCTGCAGCATGTGGTGGCTCTTTCAACAACTGAAGCATAGTACATTGTTCTTACCAAAGCTATTAAAGAAGGCATGTGGTTGAAATGACTGGTTGAAGAACTTGGTTATAAGCAGAAATCAGTGGTTGTTTATTGTGATTCTCAAAGTGCTGCTTGAAAACCCAATTAATTCTTATATTTGTCTGAGCATTCTCGCAGGAAACTAGCCTTCATGTTTGATTCTTGTTCAGTGAATCCATCTCTTCCTGCATAGCTAGCTTCTACTTGGACCATTCTCTATTCTTTGCTACCTTATACGATGTAGGTTCATCTTCCTTCATTGTATCAGTAATATTCAAAGCAAATGCAATAAGCTCTGTATGAGCCTATCTGGATGGGGTCTTGATCTATCTCTTCTGTCTATCTCTAGATAACATATAACCTCTAAGTTGATTAGAGCCTTGAGAATCTGTAAGGTGTTTAGCTTTAGCATTTGAACTTTCTTCTTAAATCTCAACATGTTGGTAGTCCATAGGATCCAAACCAGTATGACTACCTTCAGCTCCACCTTGTTGTGCAACATCTTGATCTTGTACTTGTATTTAAGATTATATATCTACCTGAGACTTGTATAAAGCCTCGATATGTTCAGTTTAATCTAAACTTGTTCTTGTATGTTAGACTTATGTATGGCATTTTCATTGAAAATTGCATCCCTACTAATTATGCATTTATTTTCGGAAGGGAAACACACCTTGTAACCCTTTTACACTAGCAGGATATCCAACAAAGATTCCTCTATTAGCTCTAGAATTTAATTTCCCTTGACTAACATGTACATAGAATATGCAACCAAACACTCTTAGGTGCTCTTAACTTAGCTTAACCCCAGACCATATTCCCTCACGTACTCTACAGTTCAATGCAGGGGATGGCGATCTATTCACTAAGTAATAGGCTGTAGAAGCAGCTTCAACCTAGAGGCTTTTAGGCAAACTAGATTCATTTAACATGTATCCCATCTTATCCATTAGAGTTCAATTCATTCGTTCAACTAGACCATTCAATTGTGGAGTGTATGTGCATGTCCTATGTCCAGTTATACCATTTTGTGAGCAAAATTATTGACATTGGTTGTCACTTTGCTGTACCAAAGTCTTGTATTTTTTTTGTGTATTTAAATCAAGTCTCTGTCAACAGAAGGTTGTAGTTGGTAGGAGTTGTTGACTAAAAGCATGGTTGAAACCTTTTGTAATATATATGCTACCAGCCGGTTGTATTAGTGTGTAAAAAATGTCAATATTTTTATTTAAAAAATTATCTTTTTCTTCCTCTTTGTTCCATAATTTCTATCAGTGGTATCAGAGCAAATTAGATCTGAGAGGAAGAAACATGGTTGCGAGATAGATTTTTGAGAGAAAACAAGTGAGGAACCTTTCACCAAATTTTTTCACCATATCAGCCGGTGATTTGAGAGCAAGTGTGATGGCTTCAAGTAGTTTTCCAGCTCCAATGCCTTATGTGTTTATAGGAGAGAACTATGATTCTTGGGCTATAAAAATGAAGGCTTACTCAAAAGCTTATGACCTATGGGAAATCACACAATCGGGTACTGAACCACCACCTCTCAGGGCAAATCCTACTATAGCTCAGCTGAAGCAATATAGTGAGAAAGTTGCAAAGAA